GGGGGAGACTGTTGCTCGTCCAGAATGTGGGCTGACCGTGAAATAACCCTGCAGCGTAGTCAGACAAGTGAAGGAGCCCCAAAGATCGAAAATATGCGATAATATCGCTCTGGGTGCGATTAAATCGCAGGATTTGAGCGCCCAATGAGAGAGGGAGGGAAACCCGAATAAGCGTGCATCTGAAGCGAAGAGGCATTCGCAGCATGCAGGGTATGGGGCAGGGGATTTTGGAGCGAATGGGCGGCCAGAATTCGAAGGAATGGACTGGGATTACTGTCTGGAAGATCAGGGGGGGTCGGCAGCTCGAAATGGGCAGCAAGGGGAGCGTTTTGAAGGCTGGGGGATGTAGATGGGGTCGTTCTAATGCCAGGATCGAGTCGACGAGCAGTGTATATGTCGAGCTGTAACTGTGAAAAGAGAGGGAAATACTCAGCTTCATGGATGGAATTGGGGTGTACCCCAGAGACACTCTTATATAGCATCCAAATTCGAGCTTGAGATGGAATCCGTGGTGTACAGAGATTTATGCAGATAGTGTCGAGTTCTGGGTGATAGTCAGTCATATAGAAGCATTAACGAGTGTGTAATAAGAGCGCAGAAATGGGAATTTGTCGAGGATGAGATCGCCGGCAGGTGGGTGGAAGGAGAGAGTGAGCTCACAGCCACCCCCTGCTCTTCGGCTCTCTCCCTCACAAGATGATGCATTGATCTCCCTCTCTCACTCAATGCATCCAGTATGTCTCACAGTGTATAAATCACTACCCTCTGGGAAATAGCTCAACTGCACCCTTACCCAGCGCAGTGTTGAATGCTTGAAGAGCGTAGGCTTGATTGTCAAAGCGTTTCGGGAAGTTGTTCAAGCACTGTTGTTCGAGCGCTTCGCCGCCAGGTCAACCAAGACTTTTTGGGCTGTAGGTTTGCATGTTGGTAGCGCGGGGAGAGACAGACAAGGAAACAAACCTCGTGGTCTAAAACGTTGGCAGGGAACCACAGGAGAGTGAGAGAAATGCGAATTGACAAATCGACCAAACAATTAGACCATGAGAATCTCCATGAGTTTGACACAAGCGCATGACTCACCTCGACTTTGTTGTTTTTCTCTGCCCGTACCAGCGACATGGCAAAAAGAATTCCGAAGAGTGTTCGATATGGCATGCCTGGTACGTAGTTTCTGCCGAGGCCAAAGTGGAATCTGACACTCAATACAGCCAAAAAACGGTCCAAGAAAAAGGCCAAGTCAAAGTCAGAGCGGAGTAGCCTGAAGTTCTGGGCGCAGGGTGTCCGGGAGGAAGAGATCTTGGCCCCGCACATACAGCGGTACCGAGATGCGCTAGAGCGGGGTCGATGTGCTGAGGCAGCGTATCTCCATCGAGTCTGTCAGGAATATCACGCTCGGGTGCCATGGCAGACGCGTGACAACGAAGAGCCTCCGTTGCCACTGCCAGCATATGACTCACATGCATCTGTGGTCGAGGAGATTCTTGAGGAGCATGAAAAGCCTATCCGTGCTGCCAGGAAGCAAGAGCTCAATAAGGTGCATCGAGTGACGGGATCAATGACCTCAATGACTAACATGACTGCTCTCTCCCACAGCGCATTCGTCGATGGTTGGTATATTGCGCCAAGAAGGCTGGTGCCATGATGACCAGGAGCGAAGGCGCTGAGGGCTCATTCATGCTCTTACTTGCCCAGCTCACCGACCTCACTCCACCCTCAAAGGCTCGCTCCGGACCTCAGCAGCTCATGCATGATGACTACGACACACTGGTGGCAGAAACTGCTGAAGCCAAATGGCCAGCTGCGTGGGAGGATTGGAGAAAGCAGGGGAAGGGGAAGGGAAAGGGAAAGGGGAAAGGGAAGGGGAACGTAGCGGAGGATTTGAATATTGGTGTCGATCTGGATTCCGGTTCCCTCAATCCTGCTGCCGACCCCGATGACACGAAGCTGCCATCGGTACCTATTTGGTTCAAGTCGAAAATCGCCGACAAGATCTTCAAGATGATGTCGACGGCCGAGAAGAAGGTGTATACGGATCGAGCATTGGCGGACAAAAATGCACGTGTCGCGTCATTTGTTGAGGCTATGGAGAATCCGTCACAGGAGCCGGTTGATCGTCAGCGGTACGTGAATACTGTTGCAATCGCTTTTCACATGTCGCTGATGAATGTGCACAGGTGTATAAACGCCCTGCCGGTGTTTATGGGCCGTATTCTCAAGGGCATCTTTGATTGGACGGGGCTCCATGGGACTGTGACCTTTGCCGGTCCAATCCCCAAGTACAACGGCGAACTTCGGACACTCAGGCGAGTCGTCAGACAGATCACTCTTCAGATGAAGCTAACATGACATCCAGTGTTGCATTTGGACGTACAATCGACAACGGTTTGCATATCAACAACTGGGCCGGAGCGCGATGGGATACTCATTGGCTGAGCCTGGTGCACGAGTACATGAAGGATGCGTTCAGTGCGTAGTCAGACTTTACGATGTGGTGCCAGTGACTCATCATCCTCGCAGCAAGCGAGGACATCCAGAAGGCTTCGCTGAATCGAACATTGGACGACGCCCTGTTTACCATTGACCCAGACGTGGAGATCGCCATGAAGGAGAACCTGTCAGATCATGACGACGACGATTCAGACTCGGACTCCGACACTGACTCCAACGCGGACTCGGATGATGAAGCACCCGTGAAGTTAAAGGCAAACAAGAGGAAGCGGGCTGATTCCATCCTAGCGGGGGACCCTGCTTCCACCAGCCGAAAGCCGTCTGGGAAGAAGCAAAAGTCGACCGCTGCACCTGCCACACCCGCAGACATACCGGCATCTAGTTCGGTGCCAAGTGCCCCGGTACCATTGCCTGGCATGGCGGGATCGAGGGCGTCTGCTCTCGTGCCTCCATCCCGACTTACGCCTCCCATACCTGACTATCCACCTCCTGCCCCCGACTCTCCGCCTCCTGCACCTGACTCTCAACCTCCCGCTTTTGACTCTCCACCTCCCGCACTGGACTCGGCATCGCAACCCGTTTCACCCCCACGCGACTCAGCATCCCAACCTGACTCTGTATCCGCATTGGCGTCACATCCCGTATCTCCTGCACCGGTGAAATGCTGAGGGCGCGCTCACAAGTGAATCTACTATGAAAGTAAACCCAAATATAAACACGTTCACACTCCTCGTAATCAGCTTCTCAGTGTGTGAAAGATGCGAGGACTTCGGGGTGGACAGAGCACCAGTATCACAACTCTCAATAGACGCAGATCCAATAGTCGCGGAGACGAAGTCGACGACAAGGATATATGTATATATAGCAAAACAATGGTATCTCAACCAATATCTTCTATACGAACACAATCAACACTAATCCAATCCACAACAACAATATAACAAGTCAGAGCTTAATACGAAGTATTAAGATCCCTTGTAGCGACAGCGTCCAGATGGTGACGCAAAGCCCAAATATCAAGTTGACGCACTGCCAACCGATGCAACCAATATACTGAGTCGACGCACTGCCAACTAGTAAACCAAAATGTCAAGTCGACGCACTGCCAACTGACACAGCCAAAAGTACTGAGTTGACGCACTGCCAACTAGTAAACCAAGATGCCGCGTCGACGCACTGCCAACTAACAGCCAATATCCAATGTCCAAAACCCGAGCACAACTTGTCGACGCACTGCCAAGCAAGAAGTGTGGAACCAAAGTTCTCAAGTCGACGCACTGCCAACTGACCAAAACAACCCGAGCACAACTAGTCGACGCACTGCCAAGCTAGAGGTGTGGAACGATCTCAACAAAGCCCAAAGGCGACGACACTAAATGCTGCGACTAAACCAGATGCGGCGAATCCGACTTTCTGATGTCTCAAAACTCAAAACTCAAATCACAGTAGCTACAAGTGCTCAGGGAGCAACTTGTCGCGACCGGGCAGGGGCAGTAGAACTTCTTAGGGTGGAATCACGCGGCACGCAAATTGTACAAAACAATCTGAAATGAGAGTGATTCACAATCCGGGGAAAAGCTTTCTAATACAAAGAAACGACGTGCTACTTATACTGTCTACGACGATGCTTAGTAAAGTCCTGTACAACTGCATAGTAGCTACGCTATCTAAGATCGGTTGCCTTTTAGGGTAATTGAAAAGTTGAACAATCGGACAGGCCCTGAGTGATCAGGACCCCGCCCCATAGTCCATATGATACTTTTGATGTGGGTCAACCCACCGCGTCATACTTTTGGAATACGACGTGTTGGATTGGCCAACGGGTATGTCTTGGCATGTGAGACCAACGTGGGCGCCCCAAGAAGCCGTATGGCCCTAGGCACGCCAGTCGTCCCTCACATGGTTCGGTTCACGGATCTAGCCGTGCCGATTTTAGTGTGTTTAGGTATGGGCGCGACTCGCCGTGACACTTAGAAGTGTCACTGCAACGCGTCCACAATGTCCCGTGATCGAATGGATCCTGACATGTGACAAGTCGTCGTCGTGGCATGATCTGAGGAAACGTCCAACCCAAAACCGGGAGTTGCCGCGACAAGATGGTTTAAGTCTCGTAACGCCAAGTCCTGTCCAGTAGTAGTTCTATTATTGAGAACGTCGCGCATTGCTCAGCCCTTCAGCCCAAGTTCCCATCTGCAGAGAATGACCCTTTTTGAGAAGTCGACGCAACGACAGATCCCTTTGTGGGGAATGGTCGCGGTCCAAGCGTTCGTCACTAATGGCCCTGAGCCTGGTGTAGACTCATAAGACCAGTTCCACAGTAGTGGTCTGACTGCCTTGCTATCGTCGACACTACCCACAGTCGTCGACTGGGCAGTAGACCCATAAGTCCTACTGAGCGCAACACTGTCAACCGCGACACGATACACCGAGTGGTTCAAGAGTAAACTCTGTAAAAGCGCAAAAATACGCCCTTACAGAGCTGGTGCAGAGCGCGTCTGGTAGCCAGCCTATCACCGGATCCCGCACCAACGTCGGAGACAAATTGGGGACAGATGAGCATCGATTGGGTCATTGAGCAAACACTGACAAAGAAGGCGAGCAAGGTGCAGATGTCGTGGAACGCTCCGGATGGCTTAGATGTGACGAAGCGGCATCTTTGGGCAAAGGCGTGGAACAAGATTGTGATCGACTGCGACTTTGCGGGGATATGGCCCAAAGAATCATCGGATGACGTGGCGAATAAGAAGGCTGCTCCAAAGCCTCGAAAGCGCAAAGCCACAGAGCCTATTCCCGAGGCTGCGGTGGCAAAGCGGACACGGGGCTCGCGTGCGAAGGCTGCAGTGACCGAAGCTGATGCACAGCCAAGCGCGTTTACGGTCACGATTCCAGCGAAGGCACCCAATTGGCTTGTAACGCACGCCCGGGCGCTGTCCCAGACTGACCTCGGAATTCACTACCAGAATCTCGTCAACGCATCCATGCGGCTAGAGGCGGCATTTGGGTTCTTCGGCGACAAGTATCACGCACCCGTGTCAACCCAGTCCCGGCCAGCGGCATTAGAGAAGTGGGTGGCCAAGGAGGGAACAGAGCTTCCGAAGATCAAGGGGAGCAAGACCTTCGCAACGAAGTGGGTAGCGTGGTGGCAGAGCTTACAGCCAGATTGGCGGGTGCTGGACTCCTCGGGGCGGTATTTGAAGGGCGGAGACGTGCTATATGGCAAGGACTCGGAGTGGGGTGACCTGGATAGTCCTGGTCCTGAGGGCGCCTTGACGCTGGTGGCAGGGCTTGCTATCTGGGGCTCGGCCTTGAAAGATGCACCGGAGTCGGACCTAGAGTGGCTAGACGCCGTGATGGACGTTTCGTGGATGTGGGAAGGATTGATTCTGTCAATGGAGAAGGAGCGCACCAGGTACCCAAACAAGTAGTCATTCAATTCCAGTAGTATATGATATCCTGCCGCCATTGTGCTACGCAATGTACACAAAAGAATGAAGTGACCCGTGCACCGCACTGACGTGGAAATGCTAAGAGCTACAGTGACACGCTAGGTGAAGTGGCGTTACAAATGGCCGCCAAAAAGAGCGCGGGCGGGAGGCGCATCAATGCGGGCAGGGAAATCCGAAGAGCGCTTGCACGATGCAAACGGCAAGGGAGGCAGTAAAAATCATGCTTAAAAAGCTAGCGCAGAAAGCACGGAGCAACGAAGCGGGGCGGTGGCAGGGCGGGAGCGGGAGCGGGCCAGGGCGGGAGCGGATCAGCAGCCCCGGAGGTACGCGGGACGCCTATCGGGTTGATTCGGATGCCTGCTGTACGCGATTTGATGGCGCGATCTATCCCAACGGATTTGGATAGACGGTAGAAGCAATATTTGATGCGGAATAATGAACGGGGCCCGCAGCGTAGGCGAGTGCGCGGTTTTCCCAATATGGATTTTATGAAGAACAGCCCAAACGGCTGCTATCAGCGTCTACAATGGCTGATTTGATGGCTTGATTCGCTGACACCTATTGATGGCGCACAGAGCCCATAGAGCGCACGTGCACCCACCATTTGGCCCTATATGAGCCACGAGAACGTGTCCTGGTTCTACCCAGGCCACTGGATAGAAGTGGCCCCGTATCATACCCGTTTCCTGGGTGTATCCAGGACTTTTATCCTTTAGATTACTGCGTAGGCTCCATGAGACCATTCGATTCCCTGCAACAGATTTAGCAAAAAATTATCTCGAGATTTCACGTTCTGTTCATGTTCAATTTTTTGGTGATACATTTCCTGGTCCCAAGCATCCGTATCTTCATCTCACTGTCACATAGATGGCATTACTGCCGTTACACCTTGTTTACCTCATCCGGTTCACGGAATCGCAGGGGGAAGGGTCTTCGTAGTGCGAATCATCCCATGGGCAGACAATGTTTCAGGGAACCGCAGCAAACAGTAAAACGCACACCAGAATGTCTATTTGGCCAACGCAAATCTGCCGTTCAAGAATCTCATGCAAGAATATAATATCCGATTTTGTTCAACCTCTCTGGATGCATCAGCAGTCGAACTGCTCGAGGCTGTGGCAAGAGATTGGTCAGTGTCACCTTTGTCCTTTACAATTATCTAATCATCCACTCACAGCCAGGATGGGGCGTGGAACATAGCTTATGACAGCTTGCTCAAACAGGAGATCCTCTTTCGGTTAGGCGTTCATTTCTGGCCTGCCGATAATCCACAACAGGCCGAGATCACATCAACTATGGGCTCCAATTCGAACGCTTGGTGTAGGCAAGACAAGGGTGGTGGTTCCAAGTCACACCGTGAGTCAAACGAAGGTTATCATGCATTATATTCGGTTCGTGGATTCAATTAGTGCATCTTGATAAGTCAATTCATGTCTTTGATCCAGCCCGGTCCGCCTCGAACGGCATCCGAGACCGTCAATCAAATCACCAAACAGATTCGAATGGCATGCCATGGTGTCATGGCAAATGTCGAGGCTCTGCAAACTGAGAGTGGTATCAAAGATAAGATCACTCAACAGTGGACCCCAATCTTGGTCGCTAAAGCAAAGAGCATTCAGAAAATTCGAGTTATCACTCCGCCCACCAGAGATCAGCGCTTGAGTGATTCAAAGATCAAAGGCGAGGCTCTAGAGGTTATCAAATCATCTATAATCATGGAGATCGAAGAAGAGGTGTTCCGCTGGTTCCTTACACAACCTACCGACCGATATCAACTGTTGTCTGACAAAACTCGTAAGATTTTCTTCTGTACTGAGCCAATTGCTTGAACTCAATCCAGGTTCTGCTCTTAAATTGCGTGCGGGCGATCATTTCAACGCAGTACTCCAGATTACTGGTGCCGATGCTCATCACGACACACCGCCAGAAATATTACACACCATCCTCCTCGGCAATGACAAATACATCTGGCACGAAACCTCCAAGAAATGGTTGGACGACAAAGGATCTTTGTTTGCTCATCGCCTACAAGCTGCCAGTGTTGACGGCTTGACCATCCCGGCGCTCAAATCCCATTACATGATCAAGTATAAAAACTGGTTGATTGGAAAACACTTGAAGTCTCTACAGCAGCTGTCGATCTTTCAGCTGGATTCCCAGCTCTGCTCTGGAGAACTTTTTGATCTATGGAACGCTGCAGGCCATCTGGGCGCCTTGCTCTGGTATCCCGAAATTCGCGACATGGATCAATACTTGGTGCGTTCGCAGTTAGGCTTTTGATCTCAAATGAATTGAATTTTGTGAATTTAGGCAGATCTGACCGTACTTATAGACAACGTGCTGGATTGCTGGGCCTGTGTTGATCCCGGCAGAATCACGTATAAATACAAACTCCATGTTCTCACCCATTTGCCGGAAGCCATTTGTCGATTTGGCCCAGCGACGTGTTTTGCGACGGAGATCTTTGAATGCTGGAACGCAATATTCCGCTTCTGCAGCATTCTGTTGAATCACCAAGCCCCCAGTCGAGATATTGCCAACACTTTAGCTGACATGGAGCGTTTCAAGCACCAAGTTAGCGGCGGTTGGTGGAAGGATTCTGGCGTCGAAAATGATTGGGATTTTGATGGATTGGACAACGAGCCAGCGGCTCACGCCACCAAATTCACGGGGAAGAAGTGGACTCGTGCCGGTGTGTTGGTGGGCAAGGAAGGGTGATCGGTGGCTGTGCTGATCGGATCCATAGTCAAGCCGATTGTTCCGTAGATAGCTCAGATCGTTGTTCTCCACCGCCATCGCACGCGCCTATCAGAGCATCGCCACACTCCGATTCCCTCGCCCCCCGCTGTCCCATCGTGGTGATTGGAGTGCGGTTCGTACCCGTCCACGGATTAGTGCGATCGACTGTCGATCCTCGGGAAAAAGTCTTTTTCATTCTGCATACGTCGCCTACGTCGCCCTTGTGCCCACGTCCCCTGTGCCCACATCGCTTACTGTTCTGAAAATACCGTTCTCCACTCGTTCCCACGGTCTTCTGGGCGCCATTGACCTAGCGTCCTACCCGCCCACTCGTCGTCAACCGAGACAGCGGCAGCGTAGCGCATCTGAGCCCTCTCTGTTTTACACCACTTTGCCGCTGACAGAGCTCAGCAACCCAAGCACAACTTCAAGCCCGACTGGCCTGCCGGCCACCTTTAAACTGTCCCATCTAATAACCCCGCCGACGTCTACCACGTCACAACAGATCCCTCGACCACGCCCAGCTATACCCATGCCCTCAGCCGACGTCACGCCATTCTCCGGTCGCCGAGACGGTCCGTGCAGTCCGCCAAATGGTCGCCGACTGCCAATACGCGTCAACCGACGAACATATACGCGCTGTCAACTACCATCTGAAACCGGATAGTCTGGCAGAAGACCACATGCTCAGCTTGGCAGCAACGTTGCCGGCACGCGTGTCCCTTGATGCGTACCTGGGCGAGCTCGCAACCACATTTCCAGGCCTCAAGCCGATTCGTCGCACCGCCGCTTCTTATGAGGCGGAGCTCCTGAAAACGAGGATCACGGTGGCAGAGCTTGCCGCGGAGACGGTGAAGAGAGGGGAGGTGGAAGTCTACGTCCAAGAGGACTTTGCGAACCAGGTGGAGGACTTGGCCATGCAGGCAAAAGTCAAAGGCACACTCGCCGGGTACCCACTGTGGAAGGAGAACCAACCAAGCATAATCGTAAAGGCCCTTACGCCAGATCCGACAAGCTGGGCAGGCGTGGCCGCACAGATCCGGGCAATCGCTAACTCGGACATCCACGAACTCGCAGAAGGTTACCGGGCCGCGGCCAACACATTGCGAGAACAGCAACTCCTCAAAGCCAATGTCAACGACTTGACGCGCAGCTTTAGCGCAGAATGCTGGAAGTGCGGGTACCCCCGTCATGGAGGTGGGGAGTGCACGGCGCCGTTTGTCCCTAGCGACGAGCGCCGGTTCCGGTACCTCTGCCACACATGGCTGGGCCAGACACGCGCCGGGCCAGCCCCAGTGCCCGTGAACGTAGTTGATTGGACTTCAATTGGGACGCCGACGGAGGAGGACCTCCGGGATTTTCAGGCGGGGCTGACGCAATAGGCGATGCATCGGCCCCATACTCTGGCCAATTGGACGTGCCGGAGGGTCACCAGCATACAGTCGACACTAATGTATTACAATCTCTTGAACTTGAAACTGTCGACCTGTTTACTGTGGACGAGCCTGAGAACGACCAACCCCTATTCAAACACACAATATCTATGGAGGGCCCTAACGGCGAGCGTGTGCGTGGCATGGCGCTCTTTGACGGGGCGTCTGGATTGGGAGTACTGGACAGCACGTGGTTTGCAGCGCGGAGACACAGGCTGGGCAACGTGTCCAAGCCACAGAAGCGGCTAAGGATGGCGAACGGCACCACAATATCGTCGTCTGCGCACTGGGAAGGAACCGTCGACGTTGGCGGTATCAAAGTTCGAGCGGAGTTCGAAGGAGGAATGACAATAAGTGTGCGAGTGCAAGTATTGGACTTGCACTCTGATGGGAAATGCCGCACAGTGATCTGTAAAAGTCGCACTCTGATGTATAATGGATGCATTGAGTGAGAGAAGGAGATCAATGCATCATCTTGTGAGGGAGAGAGCCGAAGAGCAGGGGTGGCTGTGAGCTCACCCTCTCCTTCCACCCACCTGCCGGCGATCTCATCCTCGACAAATTCCCATTTCTGCGCTCTTATTACACACTCTTTAATGCTTCTATATGACTGACTATCACCCAGAACTCGACACTATCTGCAGAAATCTCTGTACACTACAGAATCCATCTCAAGCTCGAAATTTGGATGCTATTTGAGAGTGTCTCTGGGCCTACACCCCAATTCCATTCACAGAGCTGAGTAGTTCCCTCTCTTCTCACAGTTGGAGCTCGACATATCCACTGCTTTTTGACTCGATCCTGGCATTAGAACGACGCCATCTACATCCCCCAGCCTTCAGAACCCTCCCCTTTCCGCCCACTTTGAGCTGCCGACCCCCCTGATCTTCCAGACAGTAATCCCAGTCCATTCCTTCGAATTCTGGCCGCCCATTCGCTACGAAATGCCCTGCCCCATACCCTGGAAGCTGCGAATGCCTCTTCGCTTTAGATGCACGCTTATTCGGGTTTCCCTCCCTCTCTCATTGGGCGCTCAAATCCTGCGATTTAATCGCACTTGGTGCGATATTATCGCATATTTTCGTTCTTTTAGGTTCCTGGCGTTGTCTAACAACGCTGCAGGGACGTTCTATGGTCTCAGCTCATTCTGGACCGTTGGTCTTGACCCAGCCGCTGGCCTGGGCCGCATAGCGTCAATAATTACTTCGAATTTAGTGAGTTGTAACTGTTGTGCATATTTTGCATGATCTCTGCTGCGCATCTCCAGTGTTTTTGCTTCTGTGCATATCATGCATGTTCCTGCCCTGCACTCTGTGCATTTTTAGACGGCGCATAGCCTGCGCTGCGCATATCCTGCGTTTTTACGGCGTGCATATCGTGCATATTTCGACTGCATATCGTGCATTTTCGACGGTGCATAGCCTGCACATTTTCCAGCATGCATATCGTGCATTTTTCGAGCATGCATAGCCTGCACTTGCGCATAGCCTGCGCTGCGCATATCCTGCGTTTTTACGGTGTGCATATCGTGCATATTTCTACTGCATATCGTGCATTTTCGACGGTGCATAGCCTGCACATTTTCCAGCATGCATATCGTGCATTGTTCGACTGTGCATAGCCTGCACTGCGCCTATCGTGCGCTGCGCATATTCTGCACCCTCCCTGTCGTGCATATTGTGCATTTCGCGACCATGCATAGGCTGCACCTGCACATATCCTGCACTTGCGCATATTCTGCGCCTTTCCTGTGGTGCATATCATGCATCTTTTGACTGTGCATAGCCTGCACTTGCGCATATCGTGCGCTGCGCATATTCTGCGTATATTTTTGGGTGTGCATATCGTGCATTTTCCACTGTGCATAGCCTGCACTGCGCATATCATGCGCTGTGCATATTCTGCGTATTTTCTGGCGTGCATATCCTGCATTTTTAGTGTGCATAGGCTGCACCTGCGCATATCCTGCACCTGCACATATTCTGCGCCTTTCCTGTGGTGCATATCATGCATCTTTCGACTGTGAATAGCCTGCACTTGCGCATATTGTGCGTCTGCATATTTTTGGGTGTGCATATCGTGCATTTTTCACTGTGCATAGCCTGCACCTGCGCATATCCTGCACCTGCGCATCTTCTGCGCCTTTCCTTGGTGCCTATTGTGCATTTTCTTGACTGTGCATAGTCTGCACTTGCGCGTACTCTGCGTATTTTTCTACTGGGCAGACTGTGCATTTCTGATGGTGTATAGCCTGCACCTGCGCCTATCATGCGCTGGGCATATTCTGCACCTTTCCTTGGTGCATATCGTGCTTTTCTCGACTGTGCATAGCCTGCACTGCGCATATTGTGCGCTGCGCAAATTCTGCGTATTTCTGGGTGTGCATATCGTGCATGTTTCGAGTGTGCATTGCTTGCACTGCGCATATCGTGTGCTGCGCATATTCTGCCTATTTCTCGGCGTGCATATCGTGCATGTCATGCATGTCGTGCCATTTCGACTGTGCATAGCCTGCACTTGCGCTTATCATGCGCTGCGCATATTCTGCGTATTTTCGGTCGTGCATATTGTGCATCTTTCGACCGTGCATAGCCTGCACTGCGCATATCGTGTGCTGCGCATATTCTGCCTATTTTTCGGCGTGCATATCGTGCATGTCATGCATGTCGTGCCATTTTCGACTGTGCATAGCCTGCACTTGCGCATATTGTGCGCTGCGCATATTCTGCGTCCTTTCTGGCGTGCATAGCGTGCCTTTTCGACTGTGCATAGCCTGCACTTGCGCCTATTGTGCGCTGGGCATATCCTGCACCTTTTCTTAGTGCATGTCGTGCATTTTCGACTGTGCATAGCCTGCACCGCGCATATCGTGTGCTGCGCATATTCTGCGTCCTTTCTGGCGTGCATATTGTGTATTGTGCACTGCGCATATCCTGCGTATTTTTGGGCGTGCATATTGTGCATGTTTTGAATGTGCATAGCTTGCACTTGCGCATATTGTGTGCTGCGCATATTCTGCATATTTTGGGCGTGCATATCGTGCATGTTGTGCATGTCGTGCAATTTTTGACTGTGCATAGCCTGCACTTGAGCATATTGTGCGCTGCAATTATTCTGCGTCCTTTCTGGCGTGCATATTGCGCACACAAGTTGTGCTGCTTTCTTTGGGTGAGCCGGCGTTGTTCTGGCTGGGCAGCACATTTTGGGGTCATCCGCACCCCGCCGGCTTTGCGCCCTGGGCTCAGCTCCCACACCCAATCACACTACTGTTGTGCAACACAGTATTTTATTTGATGGAATGTCTGGCCAGCAAAGGCTCAACTGAAGAAGATGGATGCATTGAGTGAGAGAAGGAGATCAATGCATCATCTTGTGAGGGAGAGAGCCGAAGAGCAGGGGGTGGCTGTGAGCTCACTCTCTCCTTCCACCCACCTGCCGGCAATCTCATCCTCGACAAATTCCCATTTCTGCGCTCACCCACCCACCCACAGCCTGTTTGATTTTTGATTGCTGTACAGCAGTAGAGCAGAGTCTGCGGGGTCATCCGCACCCCGCCGGCTTTGCGCCCTGGGCTCAGCTCCCACACCCAATCACACTACTGTTGTGCAACACAGTATTTTATTTGATGAAATGTCTGGCCAGCAAAGGCTCAACTGAAGAAGATATTCACATGCTGATCTTGATAACCGGTGATCCCAGCGGCAAACGGTTGGTAAATATCAGACCGGACCGGACCGGACCTTATCCGCGGATTGACAGATGCTGTCAGCTGTCGCCAAGTACCACTGTGGGACTTGTTGTGAGATTCTGCACTTGGACGTAATCAATACATTTGAACGGCCTAGCTCGGACATAATCAATGCCTTTGAATGGCACAACAGTTAGTACGCGGTTCCAGTATATACCAACTGTGTATTTTTTTTTGGCAAATGATGTGCTCCCTGATTAAATCTGATTGAACTAACCCTTAGACCCAGCACTCAAAGCCTCGTGTTGATTAGGCTGCTCTGCCAGTCCACAATCTCTTACCTTTTGTAGATCCCCTCGCTTACAACTTATCTTGAACCCTTATCGATTGAACCCAGGGCAGATGGTTAGAATACACGAGTCGGGTCATCCACATATATATGTACATATTGCATGTTCCTTTGTAACCGCATCCAGATCTCTCCCCTTGCAAGCTAGCTTGAGTCGGAAAGTTCAATGGCGAATAACGGTACATCTCCCGCAGCATTCTCTTATTTTTTCGATCTGAGACACTCTCAGATGCGTCGTTTAAGGTCTCCCGTCTTTCCATTGATGAGGTTAAACGTTATAGAGTCTGGGTATGTGTTTCCTCTGACGTCTTGAAGCTGTAGTAATCCTGCCTTAAAGGCTTTCCCTGAGCAGACTCATGCGCATCTTTCAATTGATATTGCGTCATCTTGGGTGTCCTCCCTTGGGTACCAGTTATTCTTGCTGGATAATGGATCAATTGAGACCAGCGCTACTTTGGATCTCGAATCAGCGACCATGGGACAGCTGCAGGCATACCGGAATTTTGTGCGTGTATTTGATCCTACTGCTGCGTCTATTTCAATTGGTTTTACAAGATTCTGGGGTCTGAGAGTACCCTTCTCCGCACCGCACTCTTCTCCTTTGAGCGTTGCTTAACCTGGATTAATCCCCGTCCTTTTGCACTCTTCCTGAATCAGCAGGACGATTTTCAGCGACTGCGCTCCTTCGCAGCCTCCGAATCACGTCCGAATTCTCGTGCATCGTCCTTCTATGATCTTGCCACGGCCTCCAGCAGCCACGCATCCCTGGCTCCTTCTTCTCGGCCGGCTTCATCTATGTCCATACGATCGGATCTCTCCAATCCTGACACGGATGTTGATGCTCGTTCAGAGAGCGGTGTGTCGGCCCGCAGCTTTCAAACTGGTTCCGGTAAGCTTGAAAATTGCTACGCGCAACGAATCTAGGCCGTTCAAACTCTTTTGATTAGATCTCGATTCCACTATATCTCCGGTTCAAAACGATTCTGTGCGTGATCTCGATGGTACGTGGTCGTCTAATCCAATCCGGATCCATTCCTACTCATTTTGTGCTTCATCCAGCTCCGCAGCTCAAGAGAAAGACCATCAGGCCTCGGCGCGACGATCCTTCTATTCGGATCACTACTTACAAGTCTGTGGATCGTCTGATCCCCATTTCTGTTGTACCACGGACATGGGATATCCCCAATCCCGCTGATTCCGCCGCATATCTGTTCCACGCATCCACGGAGGCAGACCAATCCCTCCTCAAAAACGATGACGGTATTTTGAAGGATCTCGGGCAGTATATTCGCCAGGAGGTACAATCAACCGGCTTGAAGATTCCATTCAATTTCTCACTATATTTATCTAAGGACCAAGATTCGTGGGATACAAAGTCCAGCGGGCACAAGACGGACACTGGTGATACTGGAGTT